AGTCGCTGCACATTACGAAGAGGGGGGAGCTGTTTGGGGGACGGCTGATGGACCTCTTTCAAGTAGAGCTCGACTCCGAAGGAGACGTCGTGGGTTTCAGCTTCTTGCCCAACTCATCCTTTGAACCCAGCCAGTACGTTCTCGCTCAGTAGGCGCCTGCGCAGGCTTTGCAGTGTGTGCATCATGCCGCTGATGTGCTACTGATGTGCTTTTATTGCTATTGTTTACGATGGCTGAATGCTGCTTCCTGTTGCATGGGGCGTGCGCTTCAGAGACATCATATCGTGGCAGATGCGGCAGGCTGTCAGTTCGGTGCCCCTGCCCAACATCTTCTACCATTTGATGTACGGCATTCACTACAACCCCAGCGACCCGCTGCTGAAGAACGCGGGACTTCATCCTGTCGACGTGAAGACTTTGATGCATTACTTTCCTGCCCCTTTTCTGCTGTACGAAGACGTACACTACGAGAAGTGTCAACAAATCCTCGCCGATCTTTCCGCCATCGGCCTCTCCGACAAGGAAAAGGCCGAGTTCCTGTCTCTTCTTTGCGCTATTCTTGTAGCAGGTAGCACCAGAACCCTACTTTTGTTACATCACTTCTTCCTAGAACTGCATGGGTTGGGGGGACAGGCCAGAGGCTTCCATTGCTCCTCAAAGACCTCTAGCTCGTCGTGTGTGAGGACGCCATAGTGTCTTGTTGTCGCCCTCTATGCACTTGATCTGCAGACGTCGTGAGTTATAAGATACAAAACGAGCTCCCGGCAGAAGCGGAAGAAGTAGAAAAGGAGGAGGAAGCCCCCGTGCCAGCGGCGCCGAGGGTGAGGCGCATAACAAAGCAAAGCGGCCAGACACTTGAGCGCACACTCATGGTAGGCAAGAAGTCGGCGATGAATTTGGCTGGTCTCGACATTATCAATCTGGTGAGCAAATTCTTTGAGTGAACAACCGGTTTGCTGCTAACGGATCAACTGCACTGCAGTGCAGCATTGAGCCTCGCGAGGCATTCAGTTGACAAAAGGTGTGCAACACTTTGCATAAGAGCAACAGGAAGATCATACTTCCTCGGGCCTGCGGTTGTGGTTTGACTTCAGCTGGCGAGTCTCCTAGGCGTTGACGAGACGGTAATGCGAGACATCTGCTTGGGGACAGACGCCTGGCAGGTGCGGTATTTGGCCCTCAAGCTTTTTGTGCGTGTGCGTTGGTGGCTACTGGGAATCATCAGTCAAAGTCTGCGGCTATCCAAGAAGACGGATGTTCACAAGTGAGTACGAGCAACGCCGTAGCTGAAGAGAGGCAGCAAAGCACCCGCTGTATGGGACGCTCTCGGCTAGAGCGGGGGGGAAACCTCAATTGGCATTCGCCCGACAAAGCCTTGTGCTGCAACTACAGAGACTGTTACATTGCAACGCCGACAGGCCTTTTGCCGCAGCCCAGCAAGCTGTTGGGCCTTGGCGGTGTCAGTGAACCGCCGTGGCTTTCATGAGGCTCGGGGTAAAGAAGGTAGAGGGGTTTATGAAGGACATGCAATGGACGAAAGGCAAGAGGCCATGATAATAGAATTGACGTTGTGGATGCGTTGCAGTCGGGTGACGCTGCTGAAGGCAGCTGGCCTAGACTTTCGACGTGTGAGCCCGGAGTGGGCTTTCAACCAACTGCTGCACAACTACGCGGAAGAGTGTTTACTCCACATATTTGCAACTTGGGCGTTCACTCTCGGTCAGCTGCAGAGCCTCAGTGTTGCTCCTCGAGATGCTTTGTTCTTACGTGGTTCCCGATGTTGAACACTGCTCATCTGCAGTACACGACGGCGGTAGCGTAGTTGGAGATAAAAGTATCCGAGTTTCCACACGAGCTGCTTGGCCGACTCGCCTCTTTCAATGTCTTCAACGACGGGACCGTAAAGTGCATGTGTGTGTGAGAGTACAGATCAAGCAACATATCTGCTTGAAGATGTGAAGCCTCCTCCAGCAAACTTTAGCTTGAACGACGAGATCCTTGAGGTTTTCACTGGCCCCC